TATATATATATATATATATATTTTTAATTTACAAAATCATCGATTAAAATGAATTCGAATCCTTCCTTCAACGGTGGTGTCTAAGAAATCTAATGCGAATTTCATGAAGAAAACTAACCTAGAAATATTGTAGAAGTGGTGGGCACAAGTTCAAATTCAAACCATTCATAAAGCAACATCTATGTACAATTATTACATGACTTAGGGTGTATTTCGTTATTCGTTTGAAAGTTTTGCCTAAGTTTGAGCAAGTTTAATTGAATTCAACTTTTATCCATAACACACGTTTAGAAGGTGCAAATGTTCAGGCCCATGACCACACACACGTTCATAGTTTCAAAAATAGAAGTGTTGGATCTCCACAAAGCCCAATTGCTACATATTTTGGATATACCAAACCACCATTCGGCTTCTCAAATTAATATATTCGACCCAGATTAAAAAATAATTGTATGTGGGAAATTCTTAGTAAAGCAAGGGAGCATTTCAGTCAAATATCCCTCGGAAGAAGTAACCAAGTTTCAGCACAGCTGCTAGAGAGTAGTTTCTTAAGCATGTTGACAAAGTTCCATATCTTAATGTATCAAAAAAATTGTTGAAAAGAGAAAAACTCAATTGTATTCATGTTTTGATAAAAATTAGTCTCCGACTTTCTATTCAGAGACATCCTTAGTTTGTACTAAAATCACCAACATAGTATTTGGATGGGAAAGGAGGGGAAATTTTTTTAAAATATTTTTAATATAATATCTAGAATATCCTTACCTACTTTTTAATATAATATAAGGATAATTTCCTTGTTTCATTAAAATCTCTTTCTTCTTCTACTTGTAATCAAACATAATTTCTAATCCCCTTTCATTAAAATATTTCTTTTCTTTTAAATCAAATAGACCCTAATATAGTATTTGGTTGGAAGAAAGAAAAGATATTTTATAAATATATATTTTTTAGTTTTTTAGTTTTTTTTTTCAATTTAAAAAATGGGAGCTAGAGAGAAGTAAAACATCTAATTTTAATTCTCTTTCGATATTAGTGGAATTTGGACGAGAGGAGAGATTTTAAAATAATTTTAGTATAATATCTAAAATATCCTATTTATGTTTCTAAATTTAAAATTATGTAATTAATTAATTTTAAAATTCTTTTTTCCACAAATTATGCATCATACAAAAAAGAGTTATTTTCTCTCTTCTTAATCCAATAAAATTTCTAACTTCTTTTTCACCTTTCCTCTTTAGAATCAAACAAATTGCACGAAAAAAAAGAGATTAATGAAAGAGAAAATGATTTATTTTTGCACGACATTGTTACATATATAACAAGGTACAAGTAAGGTTTAGGGTTTTTTATTACGTCTGTCAATCCACAAAGTGACAATCCAAATAAATATGCGAAGGGAATGCACAAAAGCGACAAGTCCTAACAGTGAAATCCAAATATAAAGAACTATTCGAAAGATGAAAAAGTTTTCAACCCAAAGGTCACCTGGGCTGGTCATATCCACAACAGAGAGGTAAGTAAGTGTGAGGCTAGAGATGGTGATGCACATGCCTATTGACAAAAGCCAGGTGAAAAATCGGTGATTCAGAGGAAAGCCACTTACAAGCAAGAGACAAACTGCTAGAGATGAAACGAAACATGTTGTGTTCCAAATAAGGAATAGCTCGTATTCATCTTCTAAAACAACAGCTAGGACAGACTGTCCAGGACACACAACTTGTCCACATTGGCTTTGTTTAATTTTTTCACGAGCTATTGGCATTGGTGGCCTAACGCCACCTGGTGGCCAAACGCCACCTGGTGGATTCATTGCACTTTGAAAGGTCATTGTTGCGATTACAGTAGCCACCACACATAGCAATCCTCTCATGTCCTTCAACCATTTAACCTTATCCTTGTGTGCCAGCCAATTTCCAACATTTTTAATAACTCTTGTCCACCATTCTAATTTTGACTCACTTTCTTCGTTCATCGTAATTGATATATATCTCCTACCTACCAGCAAATTAATTAATTAACAACTACTTGCATGTCACATCTCTACTGCATAAATAAAGTCATTTATCAAGGTAAAATTATCATATCATTCACTAACTAACAAAAAGGAACATACCTGACTTATACAGTGTTTAGTTGGAAGGAAGAGAGAAGTGAAAAAGACATTTTATAAATTCTTTAGGTGTGGTTTAATTGTTAAGGAGAAAGGAGAGTAGAAGAAGCAAAATATTTTTTCTGATTCTTTCCTCTCCTCTAATTAAATCAAACAAGATTAATTAAGATTTTAGATAAGCTTTAGATGTATAAAATCAAATTATATGAAACAAAAATGAGAATTAAACTAGTTAGCAAGTAATTATATAATTGTATTTAAGTTTTTCCTTTTATTTATTAGGGATGTCTCTCTAACATATGAATGTAAACACTTGAATATTATATCTTTTAAAATCTTGTATATATATCAACCGTGATGAATTTAAGATCTGACAATTTTTTTAGTAAAATAAAAATTAATAATTGTTATTATCATATATAATAAGAGTAAGACATAAATGTCAAAAACAATCTTAAGTAAATTTAATATATAAAATTAGAGAATACAAAACATAAAATTTTTAGATATATACTACTGATTTAATTAAAATGGAAAAGTGCATATGCATACCCTCAACCCTAAACCCTATATATCAAAACCAATATTAATAATATATTGTTACTCTCTAACACATATTCTAATACATCTTATTATTAATTAAAATTTATTAAAAATTATAAAGTTACCAGAGATTTATTAAATAAAATATGGGATCTGCAAAATTTTACAACTTAAAACAATTTCCAAGAAATGAGAAAATAATATGTTAAAAAATATATATTAAAAAAATATGTTATTAACATTTTTAGGATATATAATTTATTGACTACAAAATCAATCTTACGTACCTGCGGTTGCTTCTGTATGATAGCTTAAAAACCCAAGTGAATGGTGAAGTGTGCTTTTGAGGCCAGGAAAGGCAGATATATATAGTTGCAAAATTGTTCATAAGCTAATAAGGGTAAGGTGGGAATTTTCTATAAATTCAGACGTGTTCGGATTAATTAGTTGTGAAAAAGTAATTCAATGATTGATGATGATAAAACCAGTTTTATGTTTGAATATGTTTATCGAAATTAATAATTTATTTATAAATAAATTAATAAAAATATAAGATATAATTTATTTTTATGTTATATATGATGATTGACGAGGTTTGAAATTAATGAAAAAGGGGAAACTTATAGTAAAGAAATCATACCTAAAAGAATGATTAATCAACTGACTAATTATAAATATAATCAAATGCAGAAAAATGAAGATATTAATTAATTTATTTTTTTTCAATATGAAATAAATAATTTATGATTTTGTCCACTAGTTTTTTCAAAACATCCCATCATTAATTATTAATTACAAAATAACCTCTATTAATTTTCCTTTTTAATCTTTCTGAAGCTATTGGTAATGTGGACATGTGGTCAATCTAACGTGCAGACTATGTACTGTATTGAGATTTGCATCTAAACCAGAATTCTTAGAGATTTTTCTAGATTGAACACAATATTAGCAAAAGCGATCCAAAATGTAGAATGCTTCAGAATTTCTTCCACGATTGAGAATCCTAAATAAAGTTTAGGACCCACACACCAAAATAAAAGCCACAATTATTTAGTGGAGGATTTGCTTTTATGATTTGTGTTGGAAGAATATATCCTCCTCCAGGAGCATAAAGATCTTTTATATAGCAAGAACAAGCAGAAAATTATTGTTAATTATATTTTGAGTTTAAACCTGATTATCATCTATAAAAAAAAAAAAATGAACACGACAAAATTCATGAAGTGAAACTTCTGATTATTACATAAACGTAAAATGAAAAACAAATAAGTTTATATTTCAACCTAAGTGCTTCTATAATTGTCTAGCTATATATATATATATATATATATATAT